AATAGAAAAATATGCTTAATATGAATGTATAAGTAGAGCCTATATCAGATTGTGTACCACCTTGGGGGTGGGGGAAGGGGAGAGGAGTAGGAGGGGGAGAATATTTAAAACTCAAAATCTTAGGGAAGTAAATGTTGAAAACTAAAAAGAATTAATTAATTATCAAGGGAAAAAAGGGCCTTGCACATCAGTGAAGTCAATCCAATCACACCAGGATGTGTCCACTCAATCACAGAATCATAGAATTTCAGATTCAGATTCAGGAAGGGATCTCAGCCACCATTTAGTCCAAAGCATACCTGAAAAAGAATCCTCATTATAATATACTCTACAAGTAGCTGGGCAGCTAGGTGGCATAATGGATAGAGCACTGGGCCTGGAATCAGGAAGACCTGAGTTAAAATCTGGCCTCAAACACTTACTAATTGTGTGACCCTGGGCACCTTCACCGTATTTGCTTCACTGTCCTCATCTATAAAATGAGCTGAAGAAGAAAATGGCAAACCACTCTAGTATCTTTCTCAAGAAAATCCCAAAGGGGGTCAGAAAGAGTCAGATATGACTGAAAAACAACTCAACAGCAACACAAGTAGTTATCAAGCCTTCACTTCAGACCTCCAAAGAAGAGAACCTTATCACCTCTCCAATCAACCCATTCCATTTTTAAATGGCTCTACTTGTTAGGAAGTTTGTTTCCTTATATCAAGTCCATATTTATTTGCCTTTTGCAGCTTGAACCCATTGCCCTTTCCTCTCTGAGGGATTGAATGGAACAAGTTTAATCTTCCATGTGATAGCCTTTTTCATATTTGAAGATAGTACCTGCCCCTTCCCTGAGTTTTCCCTTCTCCAGTCTAAAAATCTCCAATTTGTTTAACTGATGCTCATGTAACAGCATGGCATGGTGGGTAGAACCTTGAAATCATATGAAATCAGCCCTGTCACATAATAGCTCTGTGTCTTTGGGCAGGTCACTTAATTTCCTGAAGCTTCTGAGGTTCCTTCTAATTCTAACTCTGTGATTCTTATTTGTAAAGCAGGGGCAATAAGAGCTGCATTGCCTATTTCACAGAGTTGTTGTAAGGAAAGAACTGTGTAAAATCTCTGTATAAATGGGATGTACTGATGAAAGCAGCACCAGATGCATCGATGAAAGAATTATCATGGAACTTCAAAAAGATCAATATCCATAAAGGGCTGTTGCAAGAAGATGAAATATCCTGAAATTGATCTGTGGCTACTTTGGAGCCATTGTCCTAGCCCCTGGATTACAAAAGTAAAACCAATGTTGTTAGCAACAGCTCATTTGCTTTTTGTAGACAACTGTGTTTTGTTCAACAATCTTGTCACGCATCATAAAAAGTCCAAACATAAAGCTGAAAATTCCAGAGGATTTAAGTCAAGTTAAGAAGCATTTATTAAGTACTTACTGTGTACCAGCCACTTTACTAAGCACTGAGAAGACAAAGATAAGCTAAAAGACAACCCCTAAACTCAAGGAACTTACATTCTAACGGAGGAAGACAATACATAAAAGGAAGCTGAAAAGGGGGTAGAGGTGGAGAGAAGGTAGGTGGAGGGATGGTAGAGAAAGTCCAGAAAGTCAGGAGTGGAGGGAGTCTAGAGAGAAATGAGGATGTGGCTGGCCTGAGTATTTTCCTTAAAAGGAAGGTTCAGGCAAGAACCAGATAATCAGAGGAAGAAGCTATGGGGAGGAGTTTAACTCTAGTATGAGATGTCCAGAAGTGGAGTGAACTTCTAAGGTGAGGAGACTTCTTTAGAATGCTAGAGAAAGTCCCAAGTTTTAGAAAAGACCTTCTATAAAACAAAGTGGATTTTGCAACAAAAACTGACTGCAAGGTATGGTGTATGTGGATGATTGAGTAGATAATACAGTAAATCAACCTTATTCTCAAACTCTGATACAATAATTGACTTGAATGGAGAGTATGTCAAAAGACAAAAAATGAATTGGATTAATGTTTACATAAGACTGACCAATGAGATACCCATGAAGAGCAAGGCAGAAATGTTCAAGATCTCAGCACTAGCTGCAGCAATTTACACATTGGAATGTTAGTCCACAATAAGGAATGAAGGGCAGAATATTGCTGTGGTTTTTACACAAGGCAAGAAGGGTGTGCAGAAACTCTCAGAGAATCACATGATGAATTAAAAATTCTTGATAATGTCTGTCAAGTAGCTGAGGATCAGGAGGTAGTTTGTGCTATGATGACAAACTTAGGAATGCAAGAATGGTAAACAAACAATAGACTACCCAACTCACAAACTAAAGGACCACCAACAGCCAGAAAGGAAGCCAAAAGCTTTGTAAAATAAATTAAGCTTTTGATTCTTTGGACAAAAATGGGAAAAAATGGGAACAAAATATGAGAAGAGCACAAGTTCATTCATTCAAGGGTGGGGTTCGTTCTGTACTCTGATCATGTTGAGAAACCATGTATCTGAAAATAAAACAATGAAACTTTGTGTTAGTGATATATAATCCAATATACTAACAAACCTTACCCGTTTTCAAGGTTTAACAGTGTATCAAGATCACTGAGCCCTTTAACTGAGGTGTCCCCAATATACACACCTTGGAATTGCTTGCTAATTTTTGTTACAAAAGAAATAAAAGAAATGGTTTTAAAAATTCAACTGCTTAATATAGTAGAGGCAGCCATGCAATAGTAGATAGAGACATGACCTTAGAGTCTAGGGAGCCCAGTCCAAGTCCCCTGCTAGGGACAACTACTGACTTCACATCTGGGGGCAAGTCACTTAAACTTTCATTGCCCCCAAGGAAATTTCTAAGACTAGAAATTGTAGAGAAAGTGCCAGGCTGCCCTGGTAGATGACGTTTCTCACCCTGTGCTCCCTGTACCAATGAAATCATGGGTCCAGTCAAAAAAAAATGTAGAAGAGGCTACCAACACATATCAGAGATGTGAAAAACATAAATGAAACATAAACACCTGTTCATTCATTTAGTAATAACCAACATCTGTATGGTGTTTTAAAGTTTGCAAAGAATTTTGCATAAGTGATCTCCTTTAATCCTCACTACAACTCAGAGAGGCAGCCTGGCATAGTGTATGGACCTGGAATCAGAAAGACCTGAGTTCTAATCTCACCTCAAACATTTACCAGTTGCATGACTTCTCTGAGCCTCAGTTTCCTTATTTGTAAAATAGTGATAATAATAGTACCTATTTCACAGAACAGTTGGATAAAATGAGATAACATGTGTAAAGGACTTTTAAAACCTCAAAAAAATATTAACTGGCATTAAGTGACTTCCCCAGCATCACACAGCCATTGTCAGAAGCAAAATTTTAGCCTGGATGCTCTTGACTCAACCTAGCATTCTATCCACTACCCCATGCTGTCACTCTATCTGTCATAACAGGAGCACTGAGGTGAGAGTTAGATTTGAGCTCCAGTCCCAGCTCTGTCAGCTGTGGGGCCTAGGACAAGAGCCTTCTCATGGAGTTATGTAATCAAATATCAAAGATTATAGAATACTAATGAAATGAAAGTATTTTGTAAACTAAAAAAGACCATACAAAGGGATTTTGTACAGGATTCATAGTATACCTGCTGCCCAAATGGGACTGACTTCTGAAAGTTCTCCAAGGGCAGGGATTTTCTAAACATGTTGCATTGAATGCTTATACTATATTGAATGACTATGGTGATATGAAGGAAGAAGCAGTTTTATCCTCAGCTTGAGGGTTTCTGAGGAGGCCCCAATATGCATTTTCCCCACCACGTCTGTTCCTGAATATCCACAATGAGCTAAGCTAAGAAGAGTCACAAATATCAGGATTTTGGTCATCTAATTGTGTCTTACTTCCTGTGTGTGTTTCACTTTTATTTTCTCCTTTTCCCTCTTTCCCATTCCCTGAAAAGAAATTTTTTATTTTCTTTTTCCTGCTTTATCTTTCTTTTCACTTCTCCTCCTCTCTCCCTCTCTTCCTTTTAGCTCTGTTACCCTTTCTCCTCTTTCTCTCTTTTATCATTTTGGCTTCCATTTCATCTTTTTTCCCTTAGTTCCCCTTCTCCTTCTCTTCTTTTTTCCTATGTGCTCATCTTGCCCCCTCCCCATAACCACATCTCCTGCCTTTCCCTTAAAATCATCAATGACATTCTGGATTAAGGAGGTAGCTAAAACCAATACTGAGTCACTTAAAAGCACAAGGCCCTAGAAGCAATTTCACCTATCAGAATATTAAAATTGTAAAAATTTAGAGTCCGTGACCAGATTCTGACTCTGTATAGAATCAGTGTTGGGGATTAGGAGAAGGGGCAGGACAATTTCCCAGTCTTTCTAGTTGGATTCCTCCCCTGTCTGGGCCAAGATATAAAAAACAGTGGATGAAAATTGACTCCCAAGATATTTTAAGCATTTTGTAGTTATTTTGAATGGGACTTTCCTTTCTATTATTTCCTCTTGGATTTTGTTATTTGCTATGTAGAAATGCTATTGATTTTTATGAGTTTGTTTTATATGGTCTTCTGAATCAACTGTCTCACTTTTTTTTGCAGAGTATCTAGAATTTTCTAAGTAAACCACATTTCATCCTCAGATAAATCTAGTTTTGTCTTCTTTTTGCCTGTTTATGCCTTCACATATCTATTATCATCCCAAGACAATAATTCCATACCTTCTTCCCTTCTTTGCAAAGGCAGGGGACTATGGCTATACAATGTTGCCTACAGTGTCAGACTGGGTTGATGTGTTTAATTTAGCTTTTTCGTTCACTTTTTCATTCCTCTCTTTCTTTATTCTTTGTTTTAAGGATGGCTCCCTAGGTGAAAGAGGGGAAGGGATATGATGATACAAAACCAAAAATATCGATGAAGTTACTTCTTAAAAGTCAAGGACTTAAAATCATGTTCAACATTATTCCTATAAAATAAGTCAGAATGAGTACTAAAAATAATTTTAATGGTAGGTGACTTGGGTTTTGACGTGACTTTTCGGCTCTCTGCAGATGGAGTCTAGGAACAGCCTGGATATGCCAACAGATCTGTCAAGAAGAAGCAGAACCTCTCTCAGGGTAAGATATTTGCCCCTAGTCACAGAGCAAGGTTCCAGGCCGTGTTATTTGGGTTCTAACATGAATGTTCTTCTATCTGAGGAGGGAACCTAGGAAAGGCCTGGATAGGTCATCAGCAGATCTGACAAGCAGAGACAGAATTTTTCTTAGGGTAAGAGGCCGAATGGACAAAGTTAAGGCACTGTACCTACACCTCTCACCTCTTAAAAGGGGGGGCCAGAGGTAGCTAAGCAGTACATTGAATAGAGTGACTACTCTGGAGTCAGGAAGATCTGAATTCAAATTTGACCTTAGATATTAAATAGCTGTGTGGTCCTAGGCAAGTCGATTAACTGCTGTTTGCCTCAGTTTACTCATTTATAAAATGGGGATAATAATAGCACCTAACCTTGAAGGGATTGTTTGTGAAGAACAAATAAGATAATAAATGTAAAGTGCTTAGCACAGTTGCCTACCACATAATAAGTGCTATATAAATGTTAGCTATTTTTTATAATTATTGTTGTTATTATAAGAGATCATTATATCTAAATAGAGCTCATAGGTTTCTGCATGGCTTGGGAGGAGCCCACAAACTCATGCTGTTTCCCAGCATTATACTGTGAAAAATTAAGTATACTTGTCCAAGAGGGTTAATTCTTTTTTTATTATTATATTTTTATTCTGAACTTAACAAACACCAAATAAAATGGATATACTGGAGCAGAATGAGATGATTACACTTGAAACTGCAGGACTGAGTGGAAGTGGAAGTTACAGAAAGGAAAATTTACTTGTGCTGTAGAGAGAAACTTACTAGTAATCAGAGCCATCACAAAGTGCAATGGATTGCTTTGGGATTTAGGAAGTCAGGAAGAGAGGGAAGGAAGAAAGGAAGGAAAAAAGGAAGGGAAGGAAGAAGAAAGGAAGGGAGAGAGAGGGAGGAAGCAATGAAAGAAGGGAAGGAGGGATGAAGAAAAGAAGGAAGATAGGGAGAGGGGGGAAAGAAAGGAAGGAAGGAAAGAAGTGTTTATTAAGGGCCTACTATGTGCTAGGCACTGTGAGGTACGTCTATTATGATCCCCACTTTACAGTTGAAGAAATGGAGGCAGGCAGAAGTTAAATGATTTACACAGGGTCACAATAGCTAGTGTCTGAATCTGGATTTGAACCCAGGTCTTCCTGGCTTCAGGCTCAGGGCTCTATCCATTGAGGCTATCTAGCTGCAAATGAGTTCCCCCTCACTTGATGTGTTAAAATCAAAGGCTGGTCGACTACTTATGGATGTTGTCAAGGGGACTCCTAGGCTGGATAGCCTTTGAGGTCCCTTTCCACTCAAAAGTTTTGAATGTTAAAATCTCTTGCCCTAAGTTACAAAGCAAGTAAGTGCTGGGGCTGTTGCATTAGGCAACATGCTAGTTTCTCCAGTTTGAATGTGACTTTATTCCTCCTTGCAGAGAGATCCAGCGATAGACCTAGATTGGCTGGCAGACATACCAGAAAGAAGGCAGATTTCTGTTAGGGTAAAATGCCTTCCTAAAGTCTCAGCTGCTTCTTGGGTGGGTGGCAGAGGGGTTACTTCAGTACTAACAGGAATTTTCTCATTTCTGTAGAGCTCTAGAATGACTGGACAGTTAGTATTACCAAGAAACAACAGTTCTGTTAGGGTAAGATAATTAAAGCCCTAGCGCAGTTAAAGGAAATGGCCAGCTTGAAAGCCCAGCTATATTCACTCCTGATTCATTCTGATCCATCGTTCAGTGTGTGAACTTTGGGGAGTTTGGTACAGGTACTAGATACAGTCAACTTGGCATGGTGTCTTATGACAAAAGTAGATTGGGTGATGTGAACCTCAATTTATTTATTACAGTCTGCTCTAAGAAAGAGACAAAACGAGATTAGGATGTGTATGTCTATGGTTTAATTCTCTCAAGCTAGCTTGACATGCATTGCATTGAAGTTACAGTCCAAAACGGGGCTCCCCTAAGGGGGCCAGGTCAGAACTGGCTCAATTTGGGATTTTGGGATACAGAGTTATATGCCCTTAGAAGAGTAGGTGTTCCCAAGGGATGCCAATCAACCATGACTGGTCAATATACTGGGATCAAAATTAATAAAAATATTAAAATGAAGGTCTTTGAGTACATGACCCAGGTCACTCAATCTTGGTCAACAGGGTTGTCATCACCCACCATCTGGGCAAAAGAAATACTGTCCCTAGTCTTGGGAATCTGTCTCCACCTGAACCTGAGTAGGATAAAATCAGGCCTGGGTTTGGAGCTTGACCAAGATAAGAATATTCAATGCAATGTCATTATCAGAAATGTCCTTCTGAAGAACTTTGGACAAAAGGCTGTGGGGTGGGGGAGGGTGTAGGGGGAGCTCTGAAAGAGCCAAGAGACACAGATTACCTAGAGAAATAATTTTTCACATTCCTCCATCTGATTCTAATGAGAGGTGTAACCTTCTCAATGAATCACTGACTGATATGGTCAACACTTCATCAAGGGGTTTTGGGGACGTATAACAATATGGGAGAGGGGAGGGAGAAAGTGATTGACCCATTGACAAATCAAGGGAGCTGTCCCCAGAGTAATTAAATAACATAGGGGAAAAAGTAAACAATAAATTGTCCATTTAAGGAGCTAAGAAGTCTCATCTCACACAACTGTCTGGGAGAGACACCCTCTGATGAAGTTTTCTGGTCTGAGTACTGTTCAAGCAGTGTCCAGCAGACTGTCTTCTTGTAGAGACCCTCTTCCTTGTGTTCACTCTCCTACAAGATTGATCTTAACACAATTTTAAATTACCTTGCCATAATTAGGTCAAATAATAAAAGTTAACTCAACCCTTATGTCTCTATTATTATAAATTCAAAATTGGAGCCTTGGCCAATTGTTATGTTTAAGAAACTCAAATTAAAAAACATGAAAATTAGAACCCAGTTTTTATATTTCACATTCATTTAAATTTAGAACCTAGTTTTCAGTTTTATTTTTCACATTCATTGCCCCATTAGGAGGGTGAGATTCCACTAAGAAATTAATAATAGAACACTTTTATAAAAAGATGGACTCCAATACATACATAATACATGGGGTGATCAATTTTAAAACAGTACATATCAATAAAACAATTCCAACTTCTGGTCATGTTCAAATAAATAACCCTTAATTAAAGTGGATTCTTCCTTTAAGGCATTTACAAGATAGGCCACAAGCCATTCTTCTTTTAACATTACTTAACTGTAACAAACTGAGACAGGTAAGATATTAACTAAGTTAACAGAATAATATCCTGGTTTTACAAGCCCTTGGCCTAATTGTCCCCATACCATTATGAGGAATTAAAGGACCCTAACTTATACAGGAATATACTAGTAACAAATGTCAAGGCTAAATACTTAATTCTAAAGTTCTAGGCCAAATGGCTCAATCTTATACTTGCATCTTACTATAATAACCTCAGATGTTCCAGCATCAATCTACTATTTAATATGTTTAATATTGTGCTTATAAAACTTTTGATTATAGAAAAAAGCAATAATTAATTATTAAATACAATAGAGAAATATTCGCTTTTTACATGACTATTTAGAAGGTCAGGGAAAAGGGAAGTCCTCTTACACAGAGTCAAAGGTTAGGTATGTTGAGGGGAATTCCCATGCATCTTAGAAGGCTCCTAGAACTAGAGCAGGAAGCAGCAGGTTAAGCTAGCAGGTCCATTCAAGCACTCATTGACCACCAGAAACAGGTTGGACAGGGGAAGATGATGTGTCCTCCTGAGGGGGCAAGTGGCACTAGAATTTTGTTCATGGCTGTGGAGAATTATATGGAGCATAGAATGGGGTCCAGGCCATCTCCTTTCTCCCCCAAACCCTTAGTCTGGGCACTTAGGCATGGCTGAGGGAGGAACAGAGAAGGTACCTAAGGGGCACAAGGCCTAGACCCTGACGTGCCAATTTGGCTACCCAAGGCAAGTAGCAAAGAAAGATCCAAATTGCAAAAGGGGCTGGGGCTTTTTTGACCCTAAACAGGGTACCCCAGAGTAGGTGGGCCAAGGGCCATTATAGTCCTCCACTTGCTAAGACTATATTGGCCTTCATGTTATAATAGGAATGCGAAAGTTATTAAAAGTATGTTTCCTTCAAGGAATCCTGTAATTTCATTAAAAGACAAAAGGGATTAGGACTTTATACCAATTCACCCCAAATTAATGAAATGTTACTGCATCATCCTTGGCCTGGTTATTCCTGCCTTTACAATACAATATATTCATCTGCTTTATCTCTTCTCAGGGATTTCTAGGTATAAAATTTGTATTTACTGGAGAGGGGTACAAAAGACAGATGATAGTTCCAATGAATTTACAGTTTGAGTCAAAAAGACCAACTCAATAAGCCAGTTAACATCTGTTTAGCAGCACCTATGTGCTAAGCCATGGGAATTCTAAGAAAGACAAAAGACAGTCCTTGCACTGGAGGAGCTCAATCTAATGGGGGAGAATATACGCAAACAACTATTATGTACAAATACACTATATACTGGATAAAGAATAATATGTTGATATTATACAACACTATACACGTATTTTATGTGTTTCTCAAGTGACTAATCCAAGGCCTCATAGAGTCGTTTATTTCTTTTCCCTTGAGAATCTACAGATGAAATGCTAGGTCATGTGTCATAGGAGAGAATATTGTAGACAAGATTTGATTCAGGCCAATCTAGTTTTTCTGGTTTGGAATTGAAACATAATGACACATTCATAAACTATATGGCCATCATCCTGAGAAGCAACTCCTGTAGAAAAGAGGTCAGCCAACCCTACCAGCTTCCAATTAACTGCTACTCACTGGGCAAGTAAGCCAACAGGGCCCCTTGGAATAGACTAACAAGGCAGCATATTCCAGGCAAGTCAAACTACCACTACTGCCTTGACTACCATCTCCCTTCAGAAGCCAAGAGATTAGCAGTGTCTCACTGGCCATTAGACTTGTTTTCAGGCTAGCCCCCATAGCCATCTTTGGGGTAGGAATCATTGTGGAGAAAGGGCTCAATTTCCCTATCACCACCAGCAACAGCTGCCAACCAGCTGCCACCAATAGCCCTAAGGATAACCTCATCTCCCAGACCAAACTCACAGATCTTATCCTTATCCTGGGAAGTAACTCCTTTGGAAAAGGGGCCAGCCTTCCCCACCAACTTATCAACCAACTGCAACTCACAGGGTAGATATGGGGTCCAGGCCATCTCCTTTTTCACCTAAACTCTTAGTCTGGGCAGGTAGGCATGGCGGAGGGAAGAATAGAGAAGGTACCTAAGGGGCACAAGGCCTAGACCCTGATATGCCAATTTGGCTACCCAAGGAAAGTAGCAAAGAAAGATCCAAATTGCAAAGGAACTGGGGCTCTTTTGACCCTAAACAGGGTACCCCAGAATAGGTGGGCCAAGGGCCATTATAGTCCTCCACTTGCTAAGACTATATTGGCCTTCATGTTATAATAGAGACCCTGATTAACTTTAAGCATCAGGGTATCAACAGGGAAAGACAGGAGGCAATATGTGCCAGACAGGTCAAATCATCACCATCATCATCACCATCACCATCACCATCTCCCATTTGATCCTAATGAAGTCAGCTTAGGACTTTGAACTCAAGAGCTTTTGAAATAGTAATGCTTCCAGCTCAGCATCACGTTAATTTTAATATCAAATTCCTTCCCACGCTGCCATCATCTCTCTTCCTAAGGAGCCAGGAAATCATCATCTGTGTCACCAAATTCTGACAACTATGACAAATATTGTAAACTAGATTCATACTAATGAATGCAAATGAAAGGTCAAGGTATATCAAGATTTAATCATTGAGACAGATAATTTTTTTAGATTTTTAAATCCTCTTTTACTAAAAACAGTTAAACACTCAGCACTGATATATACACTGACAAGTAATGGCTCTTCAGATCCTTGCACGTGGGGATACAACCAAGTTAATAACAACAGACTGCACAGGAAGGAAAATTCCAAAAAGCTCATGTAGGATTTATGAAAAAGTGGACCTCAGTATATTTAAGACCATTTTGGATGTCATAACTAAGGGTTACAAATGTCCCTTAAATCATTAGTACTATAAAGCCTAGTCAGCCACTTTTAGGTTCTAAACTGGCCTTGACGTAATATTCAAGTAACATCCACAGACCACCTACCCTGAGGCCTACTTTCTGGACCTTACCTTTAGTTTGATTGCTGTCAATTAGGCTTTCTCAATGTAGGAGTGTGATTTCAGGCTCATTTAACCCCACTTAGGCTATCAGATTATCTGAAAAATGGTAATAATAATATTTACGCTGTCTACCTCACAAAGCTATTATGTAAATATGAGCTGTTACTTTTAATAGTATAAGACTACTGAATCCTCTTACCAGTATAATAGGAACTATTGAATTATGGTCCCTGAGATGTTTGGAAGATATTTATGATAATGTCCTCTCCTTACAGTATCTTTCCTGATTTTTTCTTTTTTTGGGGGGGGGTTTGGGCAGTGAAAATAGCACTTAAAGGGCAGCTAGGTGGTGCAGTGGATAGAGTACCGGCCCTGAAGTCAGGAGGACCTGAGTTCAAATCCGGCCTCAGACCAAACACTTGACACTTAACCAGTTGTGTGACCCTGGGCAAGTCACTTAACCCCAATTGCCTTAAAAAAATAAAAAGAAAAAAGAAAATAGCACTTAAGAAGTAGTGAATATAAATAATGCATCAGGAGGAAGGGGCTAAGCTCTCCTCTTCTCCACAAAACTGATAGTATTGTGACATCCTTATTTGTTATTCTCTTTTCAGAATCAAAATTCTGTGTTTATGGAAGAACATTTTAACCATGGTGAGTAATTGAACTACCAGACTGTCATAAATAAGGTATTAGCTATATACTTCCAAGGACAACTATGAGTCGTATGTGACTCTAAGGTCATTTGCACAGGGGAAAGTCACATGACCTTCCTAGACTTCAGTTTCTTCAGTAAAATGAGGAGGTTAAACTAGATGACTTCTGAGGTCCCTTAGGGAAGGAAGCAAGGTGGCACAGTGGATAGAATACTAGGCCTGAAGTCATAAAGACTCATCTTCCTGAGTTCAAATCTGGCCCTCAGACACTTAGTAGCTGTGTGACCCTGGGAAGTCACTTAACCCTGTTTGCCTCAATTTTCTCTTCTGCAAAATGAGCTGGAGAAGGAAATGGCAAACCATTCCAATATCTTTGCCAAGAAAACCCCAAATGAAGTCACAAAGAGTCAGATGTGACTGAAACTACTGAACAACAACTACATCATGGTCCCTTCCAGTTCTAAATTTATAATTTTCTTTCCTTTGCCTCATTTCTTTGGGATAGTACCATGTATGAATTTCAAGTGACTTGGTTCTAGGAGCCAAAGAAGGGAGTTTTCATTTTTCATTTTCAAGGGCAGAAAAATAGGAGAGAAGGTAGGCCCAAGAAATGGTTTGAGTCGAGGTGGTCAAATCCTTGGGTTTCAGTTCAGAATTGATGGCTTCACCCAGACTTTCTCATCAGCCTTTTGTCTTAGTCCTTATTATTGTGAGTGATAGATTAATGTTATTTTCACTTGGTACCTACAAATTAACAAAAATGATAAAAAAAAACCTTAGAAACAGTACTGAGAGGATTATGGGAAGAATTGGTCTAGTTGTCCTGGAAAACAATTTGTAATTATGGAAGACACTGGACTGTTAGTAACCTTTGGTCCTAGCCCTTCCACTACTGGGCATAAGCCCCAAGGAGATCAGTGACAGAAATATAGGGATAGGTATGGTCACTGGACTTATGATTTCAATGGTATAGGGAAGTACCAAATGAAGAAGCTCCCTCTACCAATGAAGGTCAGCACCTTCTCTACTACTTATAGTCTTAGAATTGCATACAGCACTGAGACATTAGGAGAGATGCCCAGGATCATGTAGCCAGTATAAGTTAGGGGCAAGACTTTAAATTAGATCTTCCTGGCTTCACAGCTAGCTCTCTATCCACTATGCTATGCTGCCTCGGAAAAAAAAAAGTCACTATACATCTCAATAGTCCTGAAATAAATTAAATTCATTAGTGGAGGAAAAAAGGCATCTTTAATTGAAATAATTAGGGTCACCAGCATGTGTCACCCATATCTAAGTATGTGCATGTCCAACAAGAAAACTTTACAGAAGAGGTTTTTATACTTTGAGGAGGAAAAAAAGGGAGGGGGAGTGTCATATTGGGAGAAGGGCCTGGTCATGGGGCATTTAGCAATCTGGAGTAAGAAAACATACCTCATCCTGGTTGTTTTACCCTTTATGTCTATGGTGAGTCTAACTCTAGTTCCCTAGAGTGGAGCCTGGTTGAAAATAAGTAACCTCAAGAGCAGGCATGCAATGACTTGCCTAGGTTTGTTCAAAGAGAGGGGCTTTCTTATTGTCAGTATGACCTTTTGACAGAGAAATGAATATTACATTCCTGTTACATCCATACAAACAAATAAATGTTCACAGCAGCACTTTTGAGGTAGGAAAAAAAAACCTGAAAGAAAATAGGTACTCATCTTATTGAAGACTGGCTGAACAAATTATGGTTATTAATATAATGGAGTTTTATTATACCATAAGAAATAAAAATATGAGAAATGTAGAGAAACATGGAGAGACTTGTATAAGGTGATGCTGAGTGAAGAAAGAGAACATTATATACAATGATTACAAAAACAAACAATAGTACTAAAAAGCAGTTGAACTCTGATGAATGAGTGACTTTGGTCCTGGATAACTAAACAGGAAGCACACTTCCTCTCAGTCTAGCAATCAAGATCATTTCTGTCAAGAGCCATCAGAAATGGATCGAATCACAATGTCAGACACTGCCCTAGTGTTCGTTGGCTTTCCTTAAATGTTTTTCTTTGTTACTGTTCACATAGTGGGGAAGGGAAAAGCAATTTAGGAAAAACAAGTGTGGTGCAAAAGCAAAAGGTAGCAATAAAACTTTAAAAAAGAAAAACGAATTTATGGTACTTTTGTTAAACCCAGATACAAGACAACACACTGGAATAACAGATGAAGATTCTTCTGAAGCCTTAAGGCTTGCCATGATGGCTAAACAACAGTCAGTAATGGAGAGATGAGGGAAGTATAAAAATTTTTACAATTCACACCCTGGGCTTCCTGCCAGAAGAAACATATCAACCACTTGCTGGAAGTATTCATGTCGGAAAGTTGGGATTGTCAGCAATGCGAATACCAAATTAAAATTGGAAAGTTCTATGCAGTTTCTTCTGATTCTTTGTTCACTTTTAACTGAGACAGAGCATGTTTTTGGTTTTCTAATAAAGACTATTGTCATATTTAAACTTGTACTTTAGAACAAATGATAAAACAACTTAAAAATTATATATCTGGGCCTCAAAATGTCAGTGAAAACTGTTAACCTGAATTTTAATGAAAAGAGTCAATACAACAAAATGGAAGTCTTTAATTGGGGCAAGTAAGTTGCAGCCCAAGGAGCCATGCAGCAAGTGCTGGGGTACCCCAGGAGGAGGACTGGGAACAGTGTTATATAAACCAGAAGGCAAGTACTAAGGCAGAAAGAATGACTAGGTTGCAGGTGGGATGGGTTTCACCAGATACATTGTTTTGCATAACAAGCAAAAGTCCATAAAGAAAGGCTGGGAATCTTGGGATGAGGGAGAGTTGGGGAGATTTACAAATAATCAGAGCCCCAGGCAATTCATTGGCCAGGGAACCAAAACCAGGTCAGGTCCAGTTAGTTCTCAGTCACTGTATTTGTATATAATTATCAATTACTGGTCTTTGGAAGGCCCAATTTTTGTTTCTCCCTCCAGGGAAAGTAATTCCCTGCCCCTACTCCCACCTGCAACACACACACACAAACATACCAATCACAGGCCTCCTATAGCCTAGGCACAGAGGAGACTATAGCAAAAGTAAGTCTAGGGGGCAGCTAAATGGCCCTGGAGTCAGGAGTGTTTGCTATATCATGAATTCCATGAAGCCATTGTTAAATCAGGAAGACGCTTTATTAATGACCTGGGAAGGTGGGGCTTCCCACATGTGTGGATAGATGCACACCTTTTTATTCCCTATTCCCCATTCGAATTTCCTTCCCATTTTCCCATTGGCTGGGTACTATAGAGGTTACAGCCTATCATATCCCCATATGAGTCTCCACCCCTAATTACATCTCCCACTCCCCACAATTTGGCCACCCTGCGCCTTATTTGGGTATACTCACATCCCTTCTGCTTGGGATACTGATGTGTTAATCTATACCTAAACTCAGAACCAGTTTTCACTGGTCTGTCCATTCACCCACCAACTCCACTTTATGGCTTTCTTTTGTTCAACTTCCACCTAGTCCCCAGACTGCACTCCTGTGGAAATGAAAACCAGACATTTCCCACACTTCCTCCCAGTCCAAACTGACTCCAATGTTGTCACACGGGCATTCAACCACTGATTGAGTGATGGATGTGCAGAAGCAACATTCCCAACCACATTGTCCACAAGGAGGACCTGAGTTCAAATCTAGTCTCAGACCAGATACTTGACACTAGCTTTGTGCCCCTGGGCCAGTCACTTAATCCCACTTGCCTTGCCAAAAAAAAAAGTCTGGGTCCTCCTGTAGTTTACACTCTGAGAGGGGAAAGAACATAGTATGTCTATAGGCAAAAAACAACAAATACAAAGTAAGCTTGTGGGAGAAGACACCAGCAGCTAGAAAAGTAGGAGGGGACCTGAAGAGGCCCTCATGCAGAAAGTGACACCAGTCTCATCTTTTCTCCAGCCTTTGGGAGTGGTGTTCCTTCTTCCCACAGAGGGAAAATTATATCTTTTCTTTCCAAGGTGCTGAAACAGAAACATAATACCCACTCTATGCCTATTCAATTAAGATGAAGTCCAAGCCATTCAAGGGTATTACAAAGGTCAGCAAATTGGAAAGGTAGCTCAGATTTACAGAAAATGTTATCTACATTAATCATGTACAACTGTCCAAGTGGGCATTCATCTTAATAAGGTGGTTGGTATAAAGCTAACACTGGGCAAAGAGTGAAAAAATAATCTTTGAACACAAAACCATATCTCACGTGATAAAATAATAACAACAATAATAATGTTGAGGTTCAGAGGCACCACAAAACATTGTCTTGAAAGAATTTTCTCAGGCTATCTCCAAATCAAGTAAAGGCATTTATTCCTCACAACACAACACTCCAAGCAGGCTCCTCTGCCTTTAAAGAGAGATGTGGCTTAAGGTAGACACCAGATTAAGGGAGAAGCCCCCTAGCCATGAGGGGCTAGGGATTCTTATAGAGGAAAGTCTGCCCTGGGTAAGGAGATGAGGTAACCAGGGACACTGAGGCAAAGAGGCAGGGGTAGTTCAGAGTTTTAGAGCATTATCAATGCAAATCATTATTCCCTTGTTAAGCCCCATGAACAGAGGAGCCCAGGGGCCTCACTTAGTTTTGGTATTTCTTTCTTTGACCAATCTACTTGAATCTTATTGTCTCCTAAAGTGGCTTTAAGTGGTACTTGAGATAATGAACTTCTCATTGACCAGTCTATTTGAATCTCTCTCAATTATAACTGCCACTTATTTAGTGCCTACCCTGTACCAGAGGTGATAGATGATTAATTGGACTTCTTTTTTATTTCAATCAGTATTAATCAGTTTGATATGAATGATAGGGATGGTGATTATAAGTTCTATTAGGCCCCAGAGCTATAAACTGCAGATTGTAAAATTCACTTGCTTAATCTCAGGAAGCTAACTAGAGGACCTCTACCTTTATTTTTCATTGTTATGGTAACCAAGCCCAGCATGTGGGAAGTGATTCAATTACATGGAAAGTCCCCCAACTATTTTTGGTGCCCCTATCTCCCTTTTCATCCCTCTAATGCCCAACATGGGGAGATGACTGTGAACACTTGACCATACAAGTGGCCTTGGTTGCTGGCTTGAAGCCTACCTTTCTACCAGCCCATAGGTGTACTCATGAGGACCTCTGGAAAGGTTTGTCAAGGTCTGCTCATTTACCTCTTTGTCAACCAATGTATTTTGTGTAGACCTTCCTGGAGGGTCAAGGGCAAGGTCTATCAACCAATTGTTGATGTTTAGGGGTACTGAGACCCCAAAATCACGACATGCAGGTCCTGCCCAAATGAATTCAACCCAAACCAAAGACAGGGTTTATTAGAACATCAATGGGGGGAAGGGGTAAGTGAGATTTAAAGAATCCGTCATATTGGCCCGACTCTTAAGGAATCTAAGTATTTGTATGGCTAGTGCAAGTGGGCCAGATCTTTAAAATCTGAGCACCTTAATAGAAGTCAGAGAGACCTTATATACAGAAAGACTGTGGGAGGGATCTAGGAGTGGCTAAGTGGTTTGGGGTGACTGGAGGAGGGGTCTAAGAAGGATCTAGATGGGAGCGGCCAGTAAGCTGGGGTGACTGTGAGGTAACAGAACGCCAGGGATCTGGACTACCTGGCTAAGGGAGAATGGAGCCTAGAGAGGATTAAGGGTGGGAAGTGGGGGTGATGGGGTTGGAATCTGGATCCCAAAAAGGAAAAACACTGGACTTTTCCTTGGCCACATGGTCCAGGTCCCTGGCATTCTATTACCTCACAGTCCCTAAAGATTACTTGGCCATTCCTAGATCCCTCCCATAGTCTTTCTGTATATAAGGTCCATCTTGTCTCTGTTAAGGTGCTCAGATTCTTAAAATATAGCCAATAGCTCACTAATGTTCAGACTCCTTAATAGTCTGCCCAATATGACCGATGTTCTAATAAACCTTGTCTTTGGCTGAAAGAAGGCTTGGGTTGAACTCTTTTGAGCAGGACCTACATGTTTGATTTAGGGGTCTCAGCACCCCTAAAGCTCAACATTTTGGTGGCCCCTATGGAGAAGCTGCCTAACCCTAAGTTCTTTCTCCAGCCAAGACTGGAAGACATATAAGCCTTCCCTCCTTCTTTCTTGCCCTGCAGTTGGGGTCACTCTGCAAGCACCTAGGAAGGCTTGGAGGTGCTTTTCGGGCAGACAGTTACGAGGCTGTCTCGAACTCAGCTTGATGCTCTCAGGCTCTGGGTCCACTGGTTCAGCTTGAGGCCATAGACCTGGGTACACCTTCCACAGCATAGGGGACAAAGACAGATGCCCTATCCAGAAGCCTATGCCCAATTCTGTCAGTTGTCTCAGTGTTGTACAGAGAAATCAGCAAACTAAGACAGAAACCAGGAAACAGATACAGGCCAACAGAACTAAGACAGATACAGGCTGACGGACAGAAACCAGGAACCAGGAACCAGGTATGGGGGTGGTCCCGACGTCTCGGGATGCCCAGGAGATTGAGGCACTAAGAGCTACTGCTGCGTCCAGTACTCATTCTCCACCAGGAAACAGAAGTCTGCAGACACTTACCTCCAGAGGCTTACCAGGTCCAGGATCCACAGGGGCTAAAATGAGGTACAGTCAGAGTCGGGGAGGGAAGATATTTTTCAGTTCTGAATTTCGGGGCCCTGGAACATCTTCAGAGGCCAGCTCCCCTAAAAGTCAGAACAGAGCAATTCCCCCTTCCCGAGGCCGAAGTCCTCCCCAGGTGGGTCTCTGCAGTGACACTACTGTCACAGCAATCTCGCTGGGGCCTCCAAATATTGTACAGAGAAATCAGTGAGCAAGACCCAGACATAATTTGAAATGTGGATTTATTAGTGCGCGGCTGCAAGGGGTACATACCCAAATCGAGCAGCCCCAATCAGGGGCAGAGGTTGAGTTTATAAAGGCAGAGACCACAGAGGAAATGGTCAGTGGTTGCGTAAGCGGGAAGTTACAGGAGCCAAACAAGAGATTGGTTAATCCTGCCTTTGGGATCATATAAGGATCATGGAATAAGACTGGGGAGGGTATCTTTCTTGGTGGGTTTTCTAAGGCGGGAACTCCTACTTCCGTGAAGAAGGGCATACAAGGTGAAGGTCAGAAAACAAAATGGAGTTCAGCACATGGAGTTCTGTACTTCATTAGCACTAGGGAATTGGGAAAACTTCAGGTGCTTTTTGATTACCTGAGGCTTACTTACTCCCTTCCCTCTACACCCCAGAATCCTCCTTTATGGAGGTGACAGGGAAAAGTTTGAACAGCTAAAAACATCTTAGCAGATTCTGGAGGTTTTTGATCTATCATTAAGGAGTTTTGAAACTCCTCCTTACAACCTTGGTCATTCACTTCTCCCACTCCCTTCCCTAGAGTCAAGAGGGTATCTGTTAATCCTTCTCATAGGAGAAGAGAGTTTCACCCTCCCCACCTCTGAATTTGCTCTCCCCTACCTGGCAAAAGGAAGGAGGGGGGAGGGGCAGAAACTACAGCATGGGCCCCACTGGCAGTAGCCTTGAGCCCTGGGGCAACCCTTGCCTGGAAGCATCACCCAGGTTCAGCACATCCTGCTCAAGGTAAAGAAGCTAGCCTCCAAACTTGGGTAAGCATGCTCTTTTTAAAGTGTAGTTTTGAGGCAGCTATGTGGCAAAGTGGATAGAGCACAGCCCTGGATTCAGGAGGACCTGAGTCCAAATCCGGCCTCAGACACACATAACACTTACTAGCTGTGTGACCCTGGGCAACTCACTTAACCCCACTGCCTAGCCAAAAAAACAAAAACAAAAAGTTGTAGTTTTAACTATTAATGATGAAATGTTGATTCTCTGTGTAAAGTAATTTGGAAATACATTTAACAAAACTGAAGTCACCTGATTGGTAATGGATTTGTTTTAAGTTTCAAATTGGTGAACTTTTTGTATCATTTATGTCAAGCAACTTTTCATAATTTGGTTACCGATAAAATAATTTTGACTATTGTTGGTTGTTGTTTTAATGTGTAAACTTGCCAAAAAGTTTGTTTGGGTTTTGTCTTGCTAAGAATTTGCAAGTATATAGAAATAATCTTTAACAATTGGCTTCTTACACCAGGATAAATTTAAATTTGAGATGTAAATCCTGGAAAAGTTTTTCCTAAACTGTGATTAGTGAAACTTGCTGTTTGAGGTAAAAGCTCATGGGATTTTATTTTGAGTTGTCTGATGGATCATAATCCACTGATAATCAATAATCCATCATCTGAGAGAAATGCCACAAGCTACTGAGAGAATGTGATACTGGTGGGAAGTCAGTATCAGGAAAAGCTGAGAGGACAATTTTAGCCTCAGTCTTAGACAGGATCCTTTTGCCTCAGTTTCCCTATTATGTTCCTCCGAAAAGGAATGTCACCCACCTGGCTATTCCTGAGTCTGGCTATGAGGTGGATTTAATACTGCATGGTTGGAAAATGGAATTATCTGAATCCAAACAGAGCTAAGGATGTTTTATCCTGTCATATCTGGGCCCTGCAGTCTTTTCTGTCAGATTTGTGTCTTCCAGACTATAAGACATTCACCTAAAGTTGTTAGCAAACAGCGGATACCAGCCAATGTCCCCCCCATTGTTCCCTGGATGCAGCCTGTGCTCAGTTCCAGTCAACCTCCTCTTTGGGACCCCCTCAAAGCAAGGACAGCTCTATGCCCCTTGCCAGCA